CCAGCTCAGCCCACCAGGGGGCGGGCTGGCTGGCATGTGGTGCTGGGGGATTGAACCGCGGTCCCTGATGCTTTTTTGCTAAGCTTGTTCTAAGTAGGTGCTTTAGACCACTGAGCCATCTCTCCAGCCCCTATTTTACTTTTTTTAAAAGGTGGTGTCTTCCTATTTTGCCCAAGCTGGCCTTGAACCCCTGGGTTTAAGTGGTCCACAGGCCTCAGTCTCCTGAGTGGCTGGGTGACAAGTGTATACAACATCTTTTACTTTTTAAATAGAATTCTGCCTGTCCTTGCTATTAATGTTTTAAGACAGAGCAGAACTTTTCCATAGCCCTAAACTTGGCAGTTTGTCTCTAATATTTTCTCCTATAAGCCATCCTCCTTGCTTTCTGCAGTTTTTTGTTTGTTTGTTTTTAAAAGACAGGATCTCACTATGTAAAGGCTGGTGTTGAACTCACTAATAGCCCAGGTTGGCCTGGAACTCATGGCAGCAATCTTCCTTTACCTCCCAAGTGCTGAGATTCCGAATGTGCACTACCATGCCAGTTTCCCCAGAGTCATCTTTTCAAAACATGAATGTGGCCATACATTTCCTAGCTTGAAACCTTTCCTGCCCCCTTTGTTAAGATTATTACTATCAGGAAATGTATGGGCCTCCAGTATGTGCCAGGCAGTCTTCTAATTTCTCAGTTTGATTCCATTTAGTTTTTCTTCAGTTGCCCAATAGCTCTGTGTGGAAAGTATTATTATAATGCTTATTTTATAGAGAATTTGAAACAGGAGGAAATCAAAGCACATAATAAAGGTCAAGATCCTCAGCACGGCCTAGCAGGAAGCTGTCTACCCGAACGCCTTATTCATGTTTTGGATTTTCTGACGTCAAGTTGCTGTGAGTTTGCCTTACAATATGCTGGAGTTTTTGTCTTTGTGTCTTTACTCCTCTTGTGTCTTGAGCCTGCATGTTTCCTACTTTTCTTCACCACCTATGTTGAGCTGTCTTCCATAGCTTCTGACCTTTCATATGAAGATAAAATGTCTTGCCTATGATAATTATGCATCACTTTATTGAAGTGACCTATGTGTTCATCTGTAGCTGTCATGTGGCATTCTTCTTTAGGACAGAGTGCACTCACTTGTCCTGCTGTACCAAGATCTCAAAACAATGTACTTTCAAGGAATGTAAATTGTTCTCTTTAAAAACCACCACTGGTCTTGTGGGGGTAGGTGTTAGCTTCATCTGAAAGAAAAGCAAACTTCAGAGAAGAAAGTGACTTGCCTTCAGCTCCTAGACTAAATACTGGACTAATCGCTATTATCTAACTTCAAACTCATCCTTTTCCTACTATATTACTTCCTTTCCATCCTAACATCTGACTCTTTGAAAAAGTTTTTATTCTGGGACATAGAAACCTCACTGAATTGATTTCCAGAAGTTTGTCTTAAGAGTAGTTTCCCAGGAGTTCTTAAAAAGCTAAATGTAGATTTACTATATGATACAGCAATTCTACTTCTGGATATATACTCAAAACTATTAAAACAATATTAAATAGATACCTGCACAACCCATATGCATAGCAGTATTTTTCATAATAGCCCCAGAGTGGAAGTAACTCAAGTCCAGTGATGGATGGGTGGGTGAATGGATGAACAAAATGCATTTATGTGCCATGAAATACTAATCCTAAGGAAATTCTGAGTGTGGCATGATGGGGCACACCTGTAATCCCAGCATTCAGGAGGCCGAGGCAAAAGGATCAGTGTAAGTTTCAGGCCAGTCTGAACTACATAATGATACCTTGTCTAAAAAAGTAAATTCTGATATATGCTATGGTCATATGGATGAACCTCAGAAACATGTTAAGTGAAGCAGACACAAAAGGACAAACTCATATGATTCTTCCTATGTAACATACCCAAAATAGTCAAGTTCATAGAGGCATGCATAGGAACTGCATGGAGGTGGGTCCCAGGAACTTCGGCGCAGGTGTGAATGAGGAGTTAGTATTTTTTGGATATGCAGCTTTGAGTTGGGATGATAAAGTTCTTCAGATAAATGGGGGCATTGTTACTCAGTATGAATGTATTTAAAGCACTAAACTACATTTAAAAGTGGTTAAAACTGTACAGTTCTTGTGTTTTGTTTTGAGACAGAGTCTTGCCTTGAACTCACTATGTAGCCTGGTGGCCTCAAACTCACAATGATCCTCATGGGTCAGCCTCCCAAGTGCTGGGATTTCAGGTGTGCACCACCACATACCTTGCCCTATAAATTTTATGTATATTTTGACACAATAAAAGTCCCAGATAATATTTTTAAAAAGTCCCAGGAAACATGAAAAATAATTTATTCCCACCTTCCTTCTCACTGTTTACTTTGTCCGCTTTACAGAAAATAAAGACACTGTCACCCTCAATTTTAATATGGTACTTGCCTTCTGTGAAGACCTCTAAGCCACCAAAGGGTCTGAAATATTACTAAGCTTCCTTGATTAAAAAATGTTGTCTTGGGAAAAAAAAAAAATGTTGTCTTGGGCTGAGGATATAGCTGAGTGGCATAGTACTTGCCTGGCAAAGTGCAAGGTCTTGAGTTTGATTCCCAGTACCAAAAATAAAGGTTTTGTCTTGTACATAATTCGATCCTAAGAATGATTCTGTGCGGAAAAACCTTGGCACTAGAAATGGAAGTTTGCTCCATTTGCAGATATTTTGAATTAGAATATTTCAGGATTAGAATTTAGAGCTAAGACAAGAAATTCATGTTTACAAAGTTATTGGAAAAAAAAATGAGTTATGACGTTATCTCTAGGCAAAAAAAAATTCAACAGATATTTCCTAAAGAAGTTATATGACTGGTCACTGAACTCATGCAAATGTGTAATATTAGGCATCAGAGGAATGTAATCTTTTAAAAAAATTTATTTATTTGGTACAGGGTCTTGCTATGCAGCTCAGACTCCTAGTGATCGTCCTGTCTCAGCCTCCCATGTGCTGGGATTGCAGGCGTGTGTCACAGGAATGTAATTTAAAACTACAATGATATGCTATTTCCCACTTATTAGAATTGCTAAAATTATTTTTTAAAAAGCTGATGATACCATGTGAGATAATGTGGAGCAACTGGAACTAGCACATTTTGCTGGTGAGGATATAAAAGGGCATAGTCACTTTGGAAAATCCACTGAGAAATAATCCTAGCCTGGGAAATATTTTATAAAGCTAAAATGTAAATCTAAAAATTATAGAATTTTATTATAGTATATGAATTATATGAAATATAGATATATCACATTCACACTACAAGAATGTTCATGACCCTCAAAAATGAATTGATTTAAGTGTCAATACATAAATGGATAAGCTGTGGAGTTCTCAAAGGAGTACTCAGAATAAAAAAAAAAATACTGATACATACAACAATATGGGTGAATCTCTAATACTATGCTGAGTGAAAAAGCAAGCAAAAAAAAATACATGTCTATGAAGTTTTAGAATAGGGAACACTAATCTACAGTAGGAGAAAGCAGATTCGTGGTTACTTGGCACTGGGAATGCGAAAAGACCAAACTGACTACAGAGGTACAGGAGTGAACTTTCTACGGTGCTGTCAATGTTGATTACAATAGTTACACAGGTACATTTGTCAAAATTCATCAAATTGGCTAGGGATATAGCTCAGCAGCACAAGCACCTGCCTGACTAGTGCAAGGTCCTAAGTTAGATTCCCAGTACCAAAACAACAAAAAAAACTCAGAAAATTGTACTAAACCTAAAAATTATTTCATATGTAATTTACATCAATATATTTGACTTAAAAACACTCTAACTCTCAAAAATGAAGTCTTTCTGCAAGAATGTCTGATGTAGGTAATCTAGTTTGCCATGAAGACTGGGTTGGCTAATTAGGTAGTGGGTACCTTCCAATAACTTGAGTGAGAGCCAAGTATTTTATTAAAACATATGTCTTGGTTACTGTTTTCTCATTGGTGAGATAAAACACCCAATGCCCAAAATTAAAGGAGGAAAGGTTTACTTAGCTAACAGTTTGTGGAAGTTTTAGCCTGTAATCAGCTGGCTCCAAGGGACGATGGCATGGCAGAGGGGCAGCAATTCAAGCCAGCAAAAGCAACAAGAGCAAAAAGGGAGGGGGAGAGAGAGAGAGAGAGAGAGAGAGAGAGAGAGAGAGAGAGAGAGAGAGAGAGAGAGATACCACCGCAGAGTGGGTGTAGCACTCACACCCATAATCCCAGACTTGGACCAAGAACTCTGATGGTCCACACTGATGACTGCCTGAGGCTTTGGGGGGACATCTAGACACAAACCAAAACAACGTAAAG